ACCAGGAGGGGGGAGGGCGGGTGGGCAGATGCTCGTGTTTTATGCACAGGGTGAATTCCGGGTGACTTCGGGGTGCAAAACTCTTGTGCGTGGCCCCCCCTCGCTGTCCCGCAGCGGCCGCAAAGGGCTGGCAGGGCTGGCAGGGGCTGTGTGGGGCCACCCGAGGGCTGTGGGCTTGGATTTGGGCTCTCCAAACCAGGAACGAGACCAGTCTACACCCACAACTGGGAGCTGCCGCCTCTCCCGCACCGAGACGTGGCATTTCCTCCTCACAGACAGCTCTGGGGCTGAGGGGAGGGCAGAGCCGGAACAACATCGTTAGATTTAATATAAAATAATTGCCGTGCTTCAGATAACGCCCATGTGCCGCTCCGTGCCATGGCACCAGGTGCTGTGGAGCCCAGTGGGCATCTCCCAGCTGATCCACCGTGAATGTTGCTTCCCCTTCCCTCCCACCACCCCCGGGTTGTGGTTGCCCAAGTGGCATGGTCCCCTCTTGGTGCCTGTCCCCAGCGATGCTCTGTGCCCCCCCAGCCCTCAATGGGTGGAAACAATCCCCTCTGAGAACCTGCTCCAACACCATAAAGGGCACAAAGATGCCCTCACCCATGGATGTCCTGGCTCCCACGTTGCTTTACCCTCCAGGAGGACCATGCCCAGCATGGGCTTCAGCCACACCAGCCACAGGTCCGTGGTGAGCCGTGCAGGAGTCCCAAAGCAGACCCTCACTGGTGCCCAAGCCACCTCCCAGTGGGACACCCTGTGCTGTTAAACCTCCTGGAGCATCTTTCCTGGGGCACAGGTTGCCCCATGCCCAGGGCTGGCACCACAGGTGACACGGTGCTGGGGTGCCCATGGGAGCAGCCCGTGCTGGAAGCTCTTTCTCCATGCCCTGGCACCAAGACACATCACCCTCCGGGCAGCGTGGGCACCACTGTCACTGCCTCTCGCAGTGGCACGAGCCCTGGCTGTGTCAGTGCCCACCGTGCCACGCTCGTGGCTGTGGGGGAGTGTGGGTGGGCACAGCAGAGCTGGAACCACGGCTGGTCAGAGCGCCAGCAGCCCCTCGGCATGGCGCTGCTTAAGGAGAGATTAAATGGAAATCATTTCTATTTATTGTAATATTTATCAAGGTTTAGTAAATAATTGATGCTGATCCCTCCTTGATTTCCTTGGGGGCCAGTGTGCGGTTCTGCTGAATTAAAGTTTAACGCCGCGTGACGAGCCGGGAGGTGGCAGAGCGGGCAGGCGCTGGGCACGCCGGCCCCGGGGCTCGACCCGAGCTGCCCTGGCTGGGTGAGGAGTGAGGAGTGAGGAGCACCCGGTGGCAGAGCGGGCAGGCGCTGGGCACGCCGGCCCCGGGGCTCGACCCGAGCTGCCCTGGCTGGGTGAGGAGTGAGGAGTGAGGAGTGAGGAGCACCCAGCCCTGGGCTCCCGGGGAACCTCTGCAAATCCATTTCTTCTGGTCTCACCAGTTCCCCTCGATTTACGGTGCGCAGAGCAGGTCCCAGCGCCCACAACCAGCTCAGTGTGTTCATTGGTGCTTTGGATCCGCAGCTGATGTTGTGTCTGACGTGTCCGTCTGGGGTGAGGGGACACACAAAGGCACCGAAGGGAAGCACCAGAGCCATTTGGGCAGGACATCAGCGCGGTGTTTGCATGAGCAAAGGGGGAAAAAGCTGCTCCTACTGCTCCCCAGTTGGCAAACTGGGGACTGTCACCATGCTGGGGGACACCAGCCTTCCCCAGGCACCGAGAGATGGATTCGTACTGGGAGCAGCAGAGCTGGAGGACCCACAAGAAGCTGTTGGACCAGGAGGGTGCCCATTCTCCCTCCTGCCAGCCCCAGTCCCGTGTGTCCTCCAAGCTCAACAGCTCCATCCCTGCAGCTTTTGGCTGGGCTGGTTGCCAGGCCGGACAGTGGTGGTTGCCACGGTGGGGTTGGCCTCTCAGGAGGGTTGTGCACGTTGTCTGTGTGTCGGTGTGATGTCCAAGCCCCTTGGCACCACTGTGACAGAGCTCCAGGGCTGCCCTTGCCTTACCTGCGTCTGCTCAGGCACCCAGGGGCCTCTCTCGGGGGATTTTGTTGGCTTTAGTGATTTTTCACATGGGTTGACTCTCGAGGGTTCAGGGGCTTGGCAGGCTTGGAAAGCTGCTGGGCCAAGGGGAAGGCAAACCAGCTGGGACGGGCGAGCTCACAGCTCCTCTCCTCTGTGGAAAGAAGAGAAAACCTCAGGTGTGCCCATGGGCAGCCAGCACCCACCTGCCACCAGCGTGTCCGTGCTGCTGGGACACCCAGGGACATGCCCTCAAACAGGAGAGTTCCCATGGATGTGTCCCCTTCCCCTTTAGAGCCATCAAGGTTCTGGCTGAAGAGTCTGGTGGTGGCATCCCCAGTGGCCACCTCTGGGGCCAACCATCCCTGGACACATCTCCCTCCCCCTCCCCCTCCCAGCACCCCATCAGAGAGCAGTCAGGTTGGGAGCAGAGGCTCACAGGGCTGCCACACACCTAGTCTGGGACTTGTTGTCCTTCTCCTCTGTCTTGAGGTGGCACCGGCAGGTGGAGGCCTTGCTGTAGCTGACGGAGCGCTTGGTGGACTTCTTCCACTTCTGCGCACGCCGCACAACCCGCTTGAAGATGAGGTAGAAGATCTCACAGACGGTGAGGACGATGCAGATGGAGGAGGCTCCAACCATGAAATAGGTGAAGACTCTCTTCTCGGTTGGCCGAGCGATGTAGCAGTCTACTGTGTTGGGGCAGGGCTCCACTTGGGTGCATTTGACCAGCCGTGGCAAGTCAAAGCTGTCCCACATCTTGTGGAGGAGATAGAGGAATAGGATCTCTATGATAAGTTTGAAGAAGAGGCTGAGCAGGTAGGTCCACCACAGCCCACCATGCTTCTTGCCTGTGTTGCTGTAGAGCTTGGGGCAATTCTCCCCGTTCTTCTCCCGGTTCTTCTTCTCCCGGTCCTCCCGGTAGGCCACGTGCATGATGACCAGGAGGGAAGGGCAAGTGACAAAGATGAGCTGCAGGGCCCAGAGGCGGATGTGGGAGATGGGGAAGAAATGGTCATAGCAGACGTTGGTGCAGCCCGGCTGCCGCGTGTTGCAGTCAAAGTCCTTCTGCTCGTCTCCCCACACGCGCTCGGCCGCCACCACGTAGACCAGCACGCGGAAGACGAAGACCACGGAGAGCCAGATGCGGCCGAAGGCCGTGGAGTACTTGTTGACCCCACTGAGCAGGGCCTGCAGCGTTTTCCAATCCATGGTGGCCGGCGGACGCCGGAGTCACCCGACCTGGAGAAACAGCAGCAAAAGCGGTGGGTGAAGAACGGTGGGAGGTTGCAACGGGGCAGCTCATCTCTCGCTGCACTTAATCTCATGGAGTTGCCAGAATCTCTCCCTCACCACATTACACTCATTTGGGGTGGGGGGGACCATCCCGCTCGTGGACAGTAAAGCCCAGCCCCGCGCTTTCCCGGTGACAGTCAGAGGTGACTCAGCCTCTCTCCACTTCCTTCTGACGGAGGCTTTGCCGAAGGGGATGAGACACCGGCCAAGTCCCCGGCCTGACCGTGCTTGTCGGTGTAAATTGGCAGCACAATCCCCCGGCGAGGGCCAGGATCAACAAGGGGAGGCCGTGCGGGGGGGGGGCAATGGGCTTCTCAGCAAAGGAAAGGCTTGTGGGGACACCAGCCCCACGAGCTGGCAGGTCCCTTGGGATGAGGGCAGGAGGGGACCCCCACAGCACATTTCCATCCACGACCCTGTCTTCCTTCTGGGCATGTGCTGATGCCCACCAGGATGGACCCCCAGTGCCTTGCCCCCCCTTTCTGCCAGCCAGGGGTAGGGTCACTGGTTGCTTCATGTGCTCCTGATGCGTCAGAGCTGCAGGGGGAAGGATGGGGGGCGGTGGGAGCCCCACATGTACGGTGGGACCCCATGGGAAAGCACCTGGGCAGGGGGAGGGCTGAGCTGGCTCCCTGTGGGTGCAGTCCCAGCCCAGCAGAGCTCCTGGTCTGTGGCCCCCAGGTCCTCCTTCCTCCCCAGGGTTTCATGCGGCTCAGCCACTCTCCCCTGCACGCCCTCCACCAGCGTCTTTTGGGGATGGATGGGGATCTTTGCCATTAGGGAGATTCCAGGGGATCTCAGGCTTGGTCCCAGCCTTCCTTGAGCCTGGGTTTGGTGGGTAAAATGGGCTAAACCAACCACCACGCTTTCCTAGTGCTGAGAGCCAAAGGGGAAGCGGTGGCTGCAGAGCAGCGATGCCGGGACACGCCAGGGACGGGTTTTCTCTCTCACAGGTGACACCCGGGACAGCCCAAGCACGGGCGAGAGCGGGGCTGCTGAAAGTGAGAGTCCGTGCGTGTCACCAGCATGTCGTCCTGCCTGGCACCCTGCTCCCACCCCGCTCCAACCCCGCTCCCACCCCACTCCCACCCTGCTCCCGGCAGCCCCGAGGCCCCGTGCCGGCCAAACCGGCTCCACGGCTCAGCCCGGGGCTGCCCTGGCGAGAGGAGGACGTGGTTCCGAGCCCCATCCGGAGCTTTACTTGGATTTCCAAACCCCGGGTGATTTTCACCCAGAGGTGAGTCGGCAGCTGTTGGTGTCTCCCACGGGTCCGTCCCGCACCGTTGGCTTTTAAGGAGCTGCTCTGGGTAACGCACACCCTCTGATGGGAGCGTGGGGGGGGTGAAGACCAGAGAGAAGCACCCCAGGATCCCAGAGGAAGCTGAGCCCTCGAAGAACCGAGCAAACGGGCTGCTCCAATTTCATTTTGTTTGACCCCCAAATGCCAATTCCTTCACCCCCAGCTCCTCAGGTCAATCTGTGCCACTCAGTCGCCCTCCCACTGCCCGGTGCCCACCCGGTGCCCCCAACACGTACCTGGAAGAGGCTCAGGCTCCTTCCCCGCTCACCGGGGGCTGCGGGGTGGGAAGTGCCCAGTGCAGGGCATGGCCAGGAGCACGATGGCACACGGGCGATCACGGTCCCCTCGTCCAGGGAGGGCTGTGGGGCGCAGCGAGGTGTCCTGGGGCTGCAGGGAAGGAACAGAGCCTGGAGAGCTGCCCGGAGCCCGTCCCTGGCCGGGGCCACCCCTCAGTGAGCCCCAAACCTGCCACCCTGCTCCCACACTGCTGGACCGGGACGCACCGAGAAGAGTGGCCAAAGCCAAGAGGGGCCACGCTGGGGTCCTGTGCCAGTGTGTGCCGAGTGCCAGCGCCTCTGCCCAGCCCTGCACACCCCTACTCACCACCTCATCCGAAACCGGGAGATCCTCCTCCTCCCCAGCAAACCCGCCGCAGTGTGCCGGGGTGGGGAGGAACCCCAGCGCTCCCGCCCAGCCCTTTCCCCTCCTCAGCCAAAAGCTGGTGCCCGTGGTGGAGCCCATAGCCCCTGCGTGCCCCTAGGGCCAGTGCCCCCTCCCCAGCCTGCCAATTCGCCCATGTCCCCATCTTCCAGGTCCCCATGGTTGATGCCACCCAGTGCCCACTTGCCCGGCACCCACCTGCCTGGCTCAGCCCAGTGGCCATGGACCCACGGCGGGGTGGGAAGGGGAGGTGGGCTCTGTGCTGAGCTCTGTGCCAGGGTGTGGGGTGAGGTGCCGTGGGGGCCCCGCGGCCCGGCCGGTGCTGGCTGGCAACCAGGCAGAGCAGGGACAACGCTCCCGGAGTGCTCGGCTCTGCCTGCAGCACCAGTTTGCCTGCCGCGAAGCCCAGCAACCCTCACCAGCCCCCAGCGTGCCAGCCCGCTGTGTCACCACCAGGTCCTGCCCCGCGTGGGTGCAGGACCCACGCCTGGAAAAGCACACAGCTCCTGCCTGGGGTGCAAACCCAGCAGAGTCGGGCTGTGCACCTTCTCCTTGGGGGGCTCAGCCTTTTTGGGTCACCAGGAAGGGTGGTGGGATGGAGGAGTGGGGTCTGGGGTGGCCATTTCTGCTCCTCAGGGTGCCACCCTGTGCCATCCCCCTGCATCGCCCCCCGGGTGTGCAGCCCCATGGGCCAGAGATGCTGGCGCTGCCCCTGGGGTCCCCACCTTCTGCCACCTAACACAGCTGCACCCCATTAGCACCGCAGGGTCTGTCCTCCCCACCACCTGCAGGTCTCCAACAGCCCTGAGAGCACCCCCTGTCCCTGCCCCCCTGTCCTGGAGGTACCTGCCCAGCTGGAGAAGGGACACAGGGAGGTGGCAGGATCCAGGCACCTTTCGGAAGCTCCTCGTCAGCCCTGCCGGGTGCCCGGGCTTTGTGTGCGCAGCACTGAGTGAGAGCGGGGAGGGGACGGGTAGTTTGTTCTGTTCCCAGTAACTGGGTGAGTCTGGCAAACAGCTCCCGTGGAGGTTCTTGTCTGCTCACATGCACACACACGCTCGGGTTGAACAATCCAGGCGAGTCAAATCCTGCAGCGAGATCCACGGGGCCGGATTCCTCCACGAGCAACACCAGCAGCTCCTGCCCCGAGACGCTCCGTCCCCCGCAGGGGTGGCTCCGGGCACTGCAGACCCCGGGCGAGACCAGGGTGGTTGGACACCAGCATTGGACTCACACCATCCCCCCAGCTGCCCGTCAGCCCGCAACCATTGCTAAGAATCACCAATTACGCAATTGCAACCCGCTTTTTAATGATTTTGCCTTAGTAATAGTTTTGCAACAGCTCATCGGTATCTCCAACCTGCAGCCACCGCCGGGGCGTCCCAGGTGGGACCTTGCCCAAAGAGTGGCACAGACCAAGCACGGCAGCAGGGACCCCTGCAGCAGGGACCCTGCCCCACCAGCTGCCTCCAGTCCTGTCCTCATGGAACCCGGGATGTAGCCCTAAGGGGACCATCCCTATCCCCAGAGCAGCGGTGGCTCCCGGGTTCCTGGCTCAGCCTCTCCCCATTTTGTGCCTCTGCAGACGTGGCCCGGCCAGGAATGTGTTTCCGCTCGCCCGTGGCTGCCCTGAGGCTTTTCTGGCATCACTCTGGCACCCCCAGGGCCGAGCACTCCAGGGCATTTTCCCGGGGCACCTGGCCAGGGCCACGCCTCCCATGGGGACACGTTTGAGGAGCCCCACCGGGTGCTTAATGCTGTGGGAGGTTTGCTCCCTGCACTTGTGGCCAACAAGGAGCCACTCACCCAGCAGCTTTTTGGCTCCAGGAGGTGAAATAAAGTGTAGGGGGGGGGGCGTTTCACCGAGGGGGGGACATGGCAGGGGGGGGCCACGGGGGG